TGGAGGGCAGTGTCACTGGCCCTCATATGTGGGATCCGAACCAGGGCCCTCTGGCGTCCCAAGCCAGCTCTTAACCATCGCGCCACTCGGCCGGCCCTCATGTATTATTGTCTTATTCAGTCTTCAAATACCCATACAAGATCAACATTAAGATAACCCACCTCAAACACTTCCAACTGACTGGAGTAGCAGCTGGGGCCAGAGTAGGGAGGTGGCCGCTGCAGAAGCCCACCATGAGTTGCAGGCAGTCCAGGGCTCCCGTCCAGGGCTGGTTCCACTGGACCCAGTTACCACCATTTGCCAGAGGAGGACAGCAAGACTCATTCAGCAGAGGGATTTACCCTCAATCACACCATCGGCTTTGGAGCAAAACCAGGCCTTTCACACCCAGGCCTCTGAACGCGTGCTTCAAAGCTCTCACAGCCCCACAGCAGAAAGAAATTAAGTTAGAAAAATGGAGCATAATCAGAATAAGCCCAGCAAAGCAATGAGTTTCCTGAGAGCTAGTGGTCTTCAAGGACATTAGAATCCTCAAAGCCATTCCACTGAAATGAGAGAAAGGCCTAATTTCAAACTTGCTGAGGAATGGAGTATTAGGAGGCCAGCATTAGACCTGTGGGCAGTGCAATCATACAGAACAAAAGACAGCCCCCACCCACAAGACCCAGGAAACCGAAGCATCTCCTTGCAGGGGGAGATACAAGCCATAGTGGCTTCTACTACAGCAAGTGATGTCTGACTTTCCAGATTTCTAAGCTTGGCAGAAAGGCAAAGCTCTCCACCTTGGCCCTGGGGCAATTTCTCACATACTTGCCAGCTTCCCTCCATGCACAAATGAAACTGGCCTCCCTTTTCTATAGTCAACTTCTCTTTCAATATTTTTTTTTCCTTCTTTTCCATGAAGAGAACAAGCAGCTTTGCTAAAGAACCGCTGTGAAATGATTGAAGTTCCCATGCAAACAAACCATTAGCAGAGTTCAAATGCAATTTAAATTACCAGTTGTTAAAGCGCTCCTCAATTTCGTGGTAAGTTTCCAAGGAGAATTACATGCTATATACTATTTAATTGGTTGTTTTCTATTTTTTAACATCCATTTATCCCCCCCACCACCCTTATATTTCAGAAGTGTCTATAAAAGCTTCTCTTTAAAAAATTATACATTGTTGAATAGATTAAATCTAAAGATTGAAAAGTATCAGAGAACCAGCTGCAGGACTACGCAGCTCAGCAGAAATTGATGGTTTTGACACCATCAAACATGAAGCATTTTAAAATCTTAGAGGAGTCACCTCATAGTGCCATCACTCTTTACAGATGAAGACCCTGAGGCTCCAAGAAGGAAAGGAGGGGTTGACTCAAAGTCCTCTCACTGGTCAGTGACAGATTCAAGATGACAACCATGGACCCTAATGCCCAACCCTGTGCCTCCTCTTCCCAACAGCACATGGTTGGAGGAGATGATGGGAAATAACAAATTTCCATCTATAATTTTATTTTAAAGAAAATATGAGGGCCGGCCGAGTGGCTCACTTGGTTAAGAGTTGGTTTAAGAACACGAGCTCTGAGCAACAGGGCCACCGGTTCAATTCCCACATGGGCCAGTGACACTGCGCCCGAGCTGAGCTGTCGCTGAGCTGCCAACAGGTGGCAGGACGGCTCAGCTAAAAAATAAAAAATAATAAATGAATAAAAAATAAAAATAAAAAAGCCATGTCAAGTCTGGTAGAAGGGGTGGAGACGCAAACCAGGCTACTCCCAAACCTCCGCGTGGTAGCTGAAAATAGAAAGGGATAACTCAGCAGTGGAGGTTCCCCCTGGAGGTGCAAAGGACCCTAGCCCCACTCCAAGGACCCCACCATGGAGTACTGCTGACAGGAAGAGGAGTCCCCACAATATCTCACTGTGAAAAAGTGGGAATTCCAACAATCCAGGTGGGACGAGAGGCTGCAGGAAACCCAGATGTCTTCTTAAACAGCCCGTGCACAGACTCACTCACTCACAGGCATTCACATGGGGTCCCAGCAAAGGGATGGTGACTCGGGGGTCATCAGAGGCATATGGGGAGCAGACTGAGGTGTGTAGCTTCGAGGCCAGGGCTAGAAAAAAGTTGCCATTTTCTCTGTGTGGGGTCCTTCTCCTAGGCAGCCAGCTGTTATCTTTAATGTGTTGCGCCTGCCCCTACTTTTAACGCCAAATCTGACTCTGATTGGTCTGGTGAGCTCCGAGGCTCTGCCACCCAACTCCACCAATGAAGGAGGCACTTTCTCAGTGAGCAACCAGCCCCACTTTCATTGTATTCTTTCTTGGGAAACTATCAGAGTCTACAGGCCTGAGGTGGGCAATGACTAGCCTTGATATGCTTTGAGACTTTTGCTGAGTAGCTCCAGGCTCGGCACTGGCACCAAACCAGAATCTACATTAATCTGGAGAACACTACTCTTTCCACCCCAGTGACTCCTTGAGATGCTGCCTCACCCAACTCACGTACTGCATGAGGAATTATCAGAGACTGAACTTTAAGAGAACTGGAAGGTGTGTCCTAGCATTTTGCGGAGCTACCCCAGGACTAGTAGTGGTGACAGCTGTCCTCAGTGGCAGCATGGCCTCTCACACATGCCTCCAGCTTTAGCACAGGCAGCAAAAAACTGTGGATCACTTTGTAGCTCCTACCAAGTAGTCCCCAGGTGGTCACAGGCAGAGGCTGGCCTGGGCCTGCACAAGGGCCCCTCCCAAAAGGCTCAACCACAGCCGAGCACTGCCCAATTAGCCCCACAAGTGGCATACATAAAGGACAGTCTCATCAGGCACCAGACCTTGCTGAGGCAAATCCCACTCACTGGGGTAAGCCCCCACACAGCACCCCATAAGCTGTGGACATGGCCAGACCCCACAGCCAATCAGCCTGAGGGTCGACCCCATCCACTGATTTGACAACAGCAATCAAGGCTCAACTGTAACAGGAGGGCACACAGAACCCACACTAGGGACACTCCTGAAGCACCCCGAGCAGGTGAACCGGGAGACTGTGCCACTGGGCCCCCACGGGTCATTCACTACGTAAGGCCACCTAACCAAGACTGGGAGTAATAGCAGATCTACCTCATACATATAAACAAAAACAGAGAGGCAGCCAAAAAAAGGAAACAATGAAATACATCCCAAATAAAAGAACAGGCGAAAACTGCAGAAAAGGAACTAAACAAAATGGAGGCAAGCAATCAACCAGAGCTCAAAACAGTGGTTATAAGGATGCTCAAAAAACTCAGTGAGAACTTCAACAAGAGATAGCAAGCATAAAAAAGGTCATAGAAACCATAAAAAAGAACCAGTCAAAAGTGAAGAATGCAATAACTGAAAGGAAGAATGCACTAGAAGGAATCACCAGCAGACTAGATGAAGCAGAGGATCAAATAAACAATTTGAAAGACAAGGTAACAGAAAACACCGAATCAGAACAGCAAAAAGGAAAAAGAATTTAAAAAATGGTAATAGATTAACAGACCTCTGGAACAACATCAAGCACAACAACATTCACATCATAGGGGTAGCAGAAGGAGAAGAGAGAAAGCAATGGATTGAGACCCTGCTTGAAAAAATAATGACTGAAAACTTTTCTAACCTGGTGAAGGAAATAGACACACAAGCCCTAGAAGCACAGAGAGTCCCAAACAAGAAGAACCCAAACAGGCCCACATTAAGACAAAGGTAAAGACAAAGAGAGGATCCTAAAAGCAGCAAGAGAAAGGCAACTAGTAACTTACAAGGAAGCACCCATAAGACTGGCAGCTGATCTCTCAACAGAAACTTGGCAGGCCAGAGGGATTGGCAGGAAATATTCAATGTGATGAACAGTACAATGAAAAGCAAGGATCTACAACCAAGACTACTCTACCCAGCAAAGCTATCATTTCAAAGCAAAGGACTGATAAAGAGCT